AAAACATGTTAAAATGCTTTAGTGATGTTGCAAAAACGAAATTGAATGAAAAATGAATCATATTTACTGTTCGCTGTTAAGGTAGAATAATATTCCTTGCTGAATCGTTAAAAAAGACGGTGTCAGAGGAGGTCGAGATCCTGTCTTTAATATTTACACCATCCTTACCAAATTCACAGTTCTCAGTTGCAGAGTCACACTATTAACGACACTGTATCGACTGCAGAGATTATTAACATATTATTCGAAATGGTATAATGTCTTTTAGCCGGTCACGGTAGCCGAGCGGTCTACGGCATGCACTGTCTTCGCTCGCTCGGAAGCCGGGATCGTGGGTTCGAATCCCACTCAGGGCATGGATGTTTGTGTGCGTTTTTCTGTGTTTGTCTACAGGTAGAGACCTTACGACGAGCTGATCACTCGCCCAAGGATTCCTACCGAATGTGTAAGATCTAGTAAAACGAAGTGAAACGGAGAGTTTCATGGAGGTAAGCCTAGGCCCAAATTGGGGCTGTAGCGCCACAGGAAAAAAAAATAAGTCTTTTAATGCTGAATATGGTAGTGAGAGGATCCATGATTATGGTAGCGTATAACTCAACATCTTTCTCGAGAAAGCAGTGGAACTTCTGAGGCTGTTGTTGCCTAATAGAGAATCGAACCAACCATCTACTAGTTGCAAGGTAAACCTGTTTGGTGCCTCTTTACGTCTTGCAGTATAAATATGAGAGAAGGAAGAAACAATCCCAACAGAGTCTGCTTGTTCCGCTCCGGGCGGTGAATAGCAACCCAACTTTACTGCACGGTTGATCCTGGCAGAGCACGTTGGTCACTTGAACTCAGTAGTAAAGTTTACACACTTTGTGACAAGCCAACTCATCTATCTAATTATGGTTAATTTATATGGTAATGAATTGGCGCTGCAATTCGTCAGCATACACTTCACGTGTTGCAATTTCAACGTATGTACAACTGTAACTGAGATGTTCAAGAGGAGAGCATTGTATTCCATTCTTTCAAGACAAGGAGACAAAGGCTTTTCCCGGTCACACTCCTGATCTGCGGAGAGTACTTTGTGTCTATGCACAAACGCCGCACTAGCCAGCATCCGTTCAAACTTGTTGCAGAGACTTAACCTCAATTTTTACCTCACTTTCACACATAATACACACAGGAGCATTTAGAACAGATCAGAAGGCTGTGAAGTTATTTATTACATTTTAAGAGCATGTTTATATTTGCCTCTTCACACAGCCAACTTTTAACCCAATAGAAACGGAGTTTAAGTGCATTCATTAATGGCATGTTATTAAAATATAGCATGGTACAACAAACCAAGATTTTTCTTACAAATACATAACTTCGCTGTTGATAAGGAAACTGCGGGCCAGCTTTTCTGCCAAGGCAACAATACTTTGATCCAGATCAATTCGCAAAACCTCTTTATGGTTTCTGTCCAAAAACACAAGATTAACCGCAGTTTGCTATCCGTGGTCTTAACCTCTAGCTTCCTAATTTTAATGACCGAAGGCGGATTTGACACTTCGTAGGATTTAACCCCAGACTTCTCCATCACCATCAAGCGCTCAGATAACGCGTGTGTATAGGACCTAATGCCGGTCACGGTAGCCGAGCGGTCTAAGGCGTGCAATGTCTTCGCTCGCTCGGAAGCCGGGATCGTGGGTTCGAATCCCACTCAGGGCATGGATGTTTGTGTACAGGTAGAGGCCTTGCGACGAGCTGATCACCCGCCCAAGGAGTCCTACCGTATGACTAAGATCTAGAAAAACCGAAGTGAACGGAGAAGTTCATGGAGGTCTGGGCTGGGCCTACTGGGGCTGTAGTGCCAAGGAAAAAAAAAAATAGGACCTAATAGGACTCCTGGACGCAAGGGTAGGACCACATACGTCTTCAGTTATCTGGCCTGGAATATCAGCTGCACGCTTCTGTCGTCTTTAACTGAAGGACATTTCGCAGATACGTGCATGTTTCCTGTTCATATTCTCTTGTGTCAGCTGTGAGCAATTCCAATTTATAGCCCACACCCATCAAAACGTGATTTGACGCTTTAAGAAGCGGTTTTGGGCAGAAAATTGGATCCAGTCATCTCTCAGATGGCGCACTACACAGATGCTCTGCTCCTGAGAATGACGTATTTCTAACACAGCACTTATCCAAGTGGCCTCATTCTAACTCTATTTATTTGCGAATATCTATATAAAAGTAGTTAAATAGACTGTTATTTCATTACTGAGCGAATAGCAGCTTGTTTTTATATAAATACATCACCATCAGACTTAATTCATTATTTATTTACTTTTTCAATGGCTCTTCCAACCCATTCAGGGCCCTGGCCTCTTGTTTTGTTCCGTAATCATTTTCATAGACGGTAGGACTCCTTGGACGGGGGATCAGCCCGTCGCAAGACCGCTACCTAAACACAGGGCAACACACACAGAATAAACGCACATACACCAAACATCCATGCCATGAGTGGGATTTGAACCCACGATCCCAGCGTCCAAGCGAGCTAAGTCAGTTCATGCCTTAGATCGCGGGACTACTGTGACAGGCTCAGACTTAATCTAAGTGCAACGTAAGTACTACATAAAACAATTCTTATGTAAGCCAAGCCTGTAAAATATTTTTCGGATAACGAATCCATTAAAAAGATTTGTACTTATCCTTATAAAGTATATGTATATACATGTCACGGTTGCCGAGCGGTCTAAGGCATGCACTAACTTCGCTGGCTCGGAAGCCGGGATCGTGGGTTCGAATCCCACTCAGGGCATGGATGTTTGTGTGCGTTTTTCTGTGTTTGTGTACAGGTAGAGGCCTTGCGACGAGCTGATCACTCGCCCAAGGAGTCCTACCGTATGTGTAAGATCTAGAAAAACCGAAGTGAACGGAGTTCATGGAGGTAGGCCTAGGCCCACTGGGGCTGTAGTGCCAAGGAAAACAAAACGTATATATGCTGGTATATCCAAAATGATGTCAAGTGATAGTTAAAACTGATACGTAAGTGTCTAAAGTACGGGTTTAAATATCTTATGTGTTTTGATGATGGGGTTATTGACCGGCTTTATGTTTATTTAGTATCGGCCCTCAGCCATAACTGTACATACTTCGTTCAACGATGCCTAATTCGTTACGAACTACTCAGAAACCGGAAGAGGCACAGTGAGGATCATACGAGTACAGCACTTGTATCAATACAAGTGTTCATGGATGATACGGCCCACTTTAGGCCTAAGTTCCACATCACCACAAATTTATCTATTTATTTACCTGCTTATACAACAGTTCAAAGGCGAATTATAAAAGTAAGCATGGAAAAAGAGACAACAAAACAAACACACAATAATAATAATAATAATAATGATAATAATAATTTGTATTAATTTGCGTGTTGAGCTCAACACCCAGTCAATAATAGTCATAATAATGTGGCATGTAGACCCGTTACTAGGCAACGACCTTGAAACAAGCAATTAGACAGTGGCCGTTGCTAGGCATGGGCGCGTAAACATCAACAGAAGAATTATTTTCTGTATGGGACGCGGTTGACGGAGGTTCTGAAGAGTTTTCGTCGGTTTCTGCAGTACACAATACACATCGCGTAAGATACACCCGACCACAAGCCACACAACCCCGTGCTGACGCCTTCCCCATTGGGACGATTTACCAAGAAGGAACCTGAATGTTTTACTTGAACGTTTTTTAGTTTTTTAATTTTTTAAATTTAAATTTTAACGTTGACGACTCGGTTTTGAGGGTGGTTTTTTAGATGCAAGTGCTATACCTGCATTCAAGATACTGGGAAGTGTTGTGCTTTACACTCCGTTATATGTAATAGTTTCCACAAATAACTACATATTGTGGATGTTGAGCTGTGCCAGTGTTTTCATGGTTTGTTGTAAGTGCCTCTGAGGATGGTTCCTTGGAACCGAAACATGTAAGGCAGATGAGAAGAAAAATTAAGTGACCAAAATATATATTGTTACACTTGACGGAAAATCTATTGACAATAAAAATAGAGATGCTAATTACTCTATCTCCTTTCTGGAGCACGGAGAAATGTAATGTCCCACACATGAAATTAATACCCTTATACTCTTTTTCTCTTGATAATGAATCACGAAAACAGACTTGCCAGATATTTAATCTGCCTTTCATTTTGCAACCCCTGGATTCATCCGGGATTTCCAGTTGTCTTGGTGGCGATCAGTGCTGACACAGGATGTTGAGGAAGGTTTCCAACCTTGATACGAAACGTAGTAATTGATAAGACGAAAATATGTTAGTAGTTTGTAGGGATTTAAGGAAAACAGGCCCAGGGAGGGTTGAAATATAACCACTGTAATGCGCGCTTAATGCCACGAGTGTTACGGCTCTTCCAGGTTTTTATATGTCGTAAATATCGCGGCTTTCTGGATAAACACGAGCTTTCGATAGCGTCATACGTAATAGAAGGAGTAAGCAAATTCAAAATTTCTTCAATAATTCTATATTTCTTATTTTCCATACGTCACTATTAGGTTCTAATGCCTTATTAATGAATATTACTCAATAAAGAATTTCTCATTTGAAGAATACTTTTCATCTAACCAGTCTTCCAATTACATGCACTAACAATAAGCGAAACTGGAACTATATAGGTAATCCCTATTTCTTCTTGATAAATCTGAACATTAAAATATAAAATTGTGCAGCATAGTTACGTGATAATACAGAGAGTCAATTAAATTTCGTGCATGAAGACAAATTACATAACATTTTCAATATATATTTTCTATAGAGGAAAATTTCCCTTGTGTTTTGCCAAAAGTGGTAAGAATGGCCACCAGACTAGTCAGAACATGTTTTATGTGTATACTGAATTTATGTAACTAGTCATGTACCCTACTAGAATTAATTACCAGTAATAGGTGTTGCGTCTAATTTAAACGGACATTTCTGCAATATAATCTACATAATCGCTAATACAATAATATTCATACCTTTTTGATGAAAATAAAAAAAAACCTTGAAAACAGTTGAATGACAACTGGGCGACAAGCACAACTTAGTGCTGATGGTTCACTGATCACCACTCGACTGACCCGCAAAACAAGGAGACTTCTTCGCAATAAAGCTCTCACACCGTAGTGACAAGACTGATACGGCCATCTACAGTGAACAGGACGAATCTCTCTTTCTCCTAATTGTAACACCGGCATCCAAGAAGGATAAAGAGGAGTGGAAAAAAATGAAACCCACCTGTGCGTAAATTAAAGGTGTATATTTGATGATGTAGCAATATGTTCATTTTTCATTTTGACAATGTACGACGAATTATACAGCAATTTTATATATCATATTTAAGACAATGAGCTTCGAGTAGTTACTATACGATTCTGACGATGGTGTATAACACACTGATATGTTGGGTTTTTGGACTTTATCCATCGTCCTGGTTTTTTTTAAGATAACAAATAAAAACACGACGTTTCGGAAACTGGATCTGTTTCCGTCCTCAGGTGAAGGAAAACACCTATTCAGTTGGGTCCGTTGTCCAGTGAGTGAGGCTAGCTCTTTCTAACGGACCCAACAGAATAGGTGTTTTCCTTCACCTGAGGACATCCAGTTGCCGAAACGTCGTGTTTTTATTAGTTATCTTAAAAACCAGGACGATGGATAAAGTCCAGAAACCTAATATATCAGAATGAGCTTCGAGTTAATGAAAAAAAAACTTTTAGGAATTTACAATTTTATTTCTTGGAAGCTAACATGAATCAGTGACGTCAAATACCAAAATTATTCTGGGTCGACTGAAAATAAGTCAAGAAATAAAGAAATATCACACTTTTACTTTTTAATATCCCATTCTACTGTGAACAATAATCTTCGAAATTCTGAGATGGGACAACACTATTACCCTTCAATATCTGGTGCCGAGATTTTATAGAGCAATGTCCTTTAAAATATGCTGATTTTTTTAAGTATTTTTTTTTCAAAATGTAGGACAACAATATGGCGGCAGCGTAAAGAGTGTATTTCACTTTCCTTTTAATGGTGATAACAAAACAAGAGTCGGAACTATGAATGTACGCTGTACGGAGTTACATTATAACATTACTTACAAGTCCGACACGAAAGAACTGCTATATACTAAGAACGACAAACGCTGTGAAGGTGCGATGTTTGGGGCTATATCTGCATAGATAACGCAGTTAGAATCTATACTAGTGGAAATTATGCACACCCCTGGACCATTATATCGTATAGTTATTAATTCATAATTCCTTTGCACATCATCGCGTAGGTTTTAGATTTTGAAGAAAAATAAGGGTCACACATTCTTCCGGGATCTCTTGTTACATATTTCGAACTGAATAGCATTAGTGACGGGATCGCAGAATTTCACAAGGTCACGGAGTTGTTTATTGGAAGAATTTACACTTCCACTAGCAAAGATATTAATCATTTTCTGCAACAAGACAGCACACACAGACACTCTATATCACGTCTGCAAATCAGAAGAAACTGAGGCAAAAATGTGAAAGATTTTACAAACTGGTAACGGGGGGATTCTCAGGGGTTTCCTTTATCATTTTCTAATGAGGGAATTTGAGTACCAAACTAACAAGACATTTCATATTACATTTACAAATCAGGAAGCTGATTATGTTCCCAAGCAAATCTGTAAAACTGGTGTTCTGATTAAAGGGAAATGAATATGTGAATGTTCCCTATTGTCATGGGTTCGACTCCTGATGAGGTCATTGAATTTTTCAATTGACCTAATCCCTCCAGCCGCACTATGATCCTGGAGTTGACTCAGCGTCTATCAGAAATGAGTACTAGGAAACTTCCTGGGGATAAAGGGCGGCCGTCACGTAAGGCCGACAACCTCACCGCCACCTGTGAGCTGATTGTATAGAAAATGTGGAAGCCTCGACGTCTCACAAGCCTATGGGCCTCCACGGCCTGTTACATGACAGCTTTACCTTTTTACCCTATTGTACTAGTACGTATATGCAGGTTAACAAACGTCAGGCTGAAACTTTTCACAATTATTGATTATTCTCTTTTTAAGAAGATCGCATTTCCTGGTTTCGTAGTCTCTGTTGTTTGTGCTGTTGAGGCTAGAATTGCATGCCAGCACAAGATTTCTATAATCTGCTGAAGGACTTCCCGTCTTTTATGGGAAGCGAATGTTCATTTCAGGGTTCATAAGAGCCACTCACTGGATTCTCTCCTGAACCATACGAATCAAGCTCGCAAGTGTCTTCTTAAGACCCGCCTTGATATTCTTGCATCTGAGATTTGGCCTCACAAGTGGTCCCCTCTATTCAAATTTTAGAATGTAAATATTTTCACGCATTTCTTACCCCCCAAACTTGTCCTGCATGTCCCTTCCTTCTCAATTTCCTCGATCTGATCACATTAATATTTGGCGATGAGCTGTGAAACGTTTCGGGGAAACTCAAAACCGTTACAGAAGAGTTTAAGTATACGTTTCGTTCTCGGGAGGTATCGGGTTCGATGCTCAGCATGGAGACTGTCTAAGGCGATTAACCCCTTCTGAAAGTTTCCTCAGATCCGCAGAAAAATTCTCATATGTAACTTAAAATAGACCACGACCGCTTCCTGACGCACTTCCTATAATTCAAATAATTCTAGAATATGATGATAGGGTCTGTGTAACACATGCAATTGAAAAGGCATCATTAAACACGCATTAATTAACTTATATGGGGACAACTATTAAAAGCGCCACCATTGCTGTTTTCGAATTTTCTTTGATTTGCGTTTGCGGTAATAACTGAAAGCGTTTTGGGTAAAACTGCATCATTTCGAAACGGATATAAACAAAGAGAAAACATTATGACCACAGGATCTTTTTCTCGTTATGTCTAAACTGGAGAGAATGTTGTAAATAGTGACGACACTAGCCACAAACAAAATATTATCTTTACTTCATAATCCGGGCATCAATCCGAACCCCGTCTATAGTCACACTCCATACACACGACATTATTTTGATGTACTCGTAAGTGGTTACATCGTATGGAACAATTTACAGAAACAATTTATCACGTGCATTGGTGTTGTGACAATTAGACGGGGTTTTCATTTATTGCATTTATATAGACCGCACCATAGCTCTAGCGGTTAGTCGCTGGCTTCCCACCGTGGCGGCCCGGGTTCGATCCTGGGTCTGGTCAGTGGGATTTGTGGTGGACAAAGTGGCGCTGGGGCGGGTTTTCTCTTAGTACTTCGGTTTCCCCTACCAATATTCATTCCACCAAATTCCCTATCATCATAATCACCCGGGGCACGCTACAATAGGCCATTCAGTGGCCGCCGTGCCGAGTGGACCCAGTTGGACTCCACCCCCCCACTAAGCGAATGAAAAAAAAAATTATTGCGTTTATGATTTAAGCTCGTAACTACCAATAACAAGATTAATGATTTCCACAATTTACATTCACCGTTACCCACACACTAGGGCTCTCATTCTTCACTAGTCATATCCTAGCAACGGATTTCACCACAGTATTTATGATTTAAGCTCTGTAACTGCAGCACACATGAAATCTTCTTTGCACAGCCGCACTCTTGCAACGCAACTGACTCTCAGTTGCCATCTCTTCTGAATCATCTTCGACTGTAGACTAAAGATACCCCTTCAATTATTTTTCAGCTGCCCTAGATTCCTCGTTATATGAACTAGGGAAGGATCCAACATAAAACACAGTTGCCGTCGTTATAGCTCAACATTACCTGGATTGCTGCTCGCTTATTCGTTACCGCGGGAACATTTCTACCGAGCCGTTGCCTAGGAGTGACCATCTACTCTGGCTCCCCTATTCCGGCTTTCGGGCGTCATGTCACAAATTTTACATTAAGCAAAGGACATAAATGGGGGAGAGGAAGTGACAGGAAGCTAAAGGAAACTACATGACGAATAAGTTTATAATTTGTATTCGTCATTAAACGGCAGTAGGCAGGGCGAAATAGGTAGCACGCATAAGGAGATGTGGCATGTCTGAAAACATCTGTTACAGAAATTTTCAGTGAAAAGGCTACTTAGAGAATTTAGACACATTTGGAAGAATAAGATTAAAATTAATCGTAAAGAAATAGGAAACGAAAATGGACTAGATTCTTCGGGTTCGTTTTTGGAACCAGTGGTGAGCTGTTCTGAACGCAGTAAACAACCTTCTGGATCTGTAAAAGGCGGGGTGGTTCTTGACCACTTGAGTGACGATTGGTTTCTCATGAAGGACCGTGCTCCGTTCGGTCGGTAATGAACGAACGCCGAACCCCAGTGCGTGATTTGCAATGTTCTCTCACTGAGTACTTCCATAACAGAACCACATTGAAACAATCACTCCTTCGGAATTATGTCTAACTGTGCAAACATGAACTACATCAATCATACAAATCTGTCAGGTTTATCTTCATTCCAGTCTGATAACGCCGTCAGTCATAGCTACTGTTGCTTACAGATTCTCGATTGCTATTTGAATATCTGAACATAACCAAAGGAGCAGTTTTGTGAACATCGGCACAGTGTAATACATGCAAAAGAAATAACATTACAAATACTGAGATACTCTATTAAATAAAATTATGTTCGTATAGGGGAAAGCTGAGTTGTGGTCTGTTATTTCTGGGACGGACTGATCTAAAAAAACTTCCAGAGACAATAACGCGATTTGTAAACGTGTGGAACGTTAATATGACTGACAAAATGAAGGTCAACACGTCTTCAGGTACGGGATGACCGGATTTAGACACTGGGGTAGGGCCGTCCTACCGAGGCAAAACTTTGTTCCTGTGAAGTTGCGTCATTAGCCTATAGATAAGCAACGACTCACTCTACTTTAATAGGTCTGTTGTACCAGTGTGGCATGTTTCCACGTAATTGTCAGGGAAATTTTGCTTATTTCTATCATCAATCTGCTGTCCTAAACACTAAATAATGCGATATAAAGACTATAAATTTCATAGTTGTTTTATGCTATTGTAAAATGTGTTCTCTTAATTGGAGACGAGATATAAATTACATGTGTTTGAGAAGTAGTTGTTCAAGAAAACTTAGAACCACGAAGGACGTATAAGCGAACCTGTA